ATGTTTATTTTTTTCTGGTTTCGTGAAGTCGAGCATTGTTTATACGGCCGTCACTTTACGCACATTTGTAAGATTTGAGACGGGGATCTGACCTAGTACAGAACTTAAAAAGTCTAGACATTTTCTGACCGCGAGTCAGTGAAAGAAAACGTTCTGAAGTTTAGTCATCCTTTTGGTTGTAAAAGAAAGCTTTGAGCGATATTCCTGCCTCGAGTTCATCTTGAAAAATAGCAAACACTGCGAAGCCGGATTAAAACTGAAACTTAATGAGCTTAAGGTTTTATTTCATGACCGGATTTTCAAAGACACTTCACTCTCAATTCATGTCTTCGAGAATAAAAATGTCCTTTGAAGTGTATCATTGAATTATATTTCTGTGTCTTGATTGTTTGTCAAGATCTCTTTCTTATCGCTTTGCCGGTTGTTGTTCAGTTTCAGTTGTAGCATAAACATCGCATGCAGGAGTACTCAACTGCTGCGATTATATGGTGTTTTAGAAGTAAAATGCAAAGGAAAATACAAGTTTGGCGCTTGGCAAAATTCAGAAGTGGAAGGGTGGACGGGTGATTTTGGAAATTTAATTAAAATAAGATTTTTTTTGAAAGTTTTCGCTCAAAGCCCAGCATTACCCTGCATACTACACAACAGCAGAATGACCTGACTGAACAGTCCCGTCCGTAATGGTGAAGTCTCTATATGTTGTTGTCATTTTATAATTTGTTGTGGAAGGGAAGCGCGTGCTTCGATCGTCCTTAAATAATATTGAATGAGTGCAATTTGTCTTGTAAGATTATTCTGTACAAAACTGCAGAATTATGAGTGAAATAGGGCAAACTGAAATATCATAAATTCTGTTCGAATTCGATGTCTGAGTGATAAACCAAACAACGCCTGATAGTTCTGTTTAGAATTACCTCAGAGGTGATGTAAAAAAGCTGGTTTACGCGCCACCAGATTTGCAAAGTAAACTTGTAGCGAGCCACACAAAAAAATTCGGCCTGGTTTTTCATTTTGGCCTTTTCTTTATAAGTTATAAGGTGTAAATTGGCTGCCACCGAGGACTATCGTGTCTTAACGGCTTATATAGCATAAAAGTATATTTCGGCCCTTTCCCATAAATACCCTTAAAAAATAAAGGTGGTGTAGGTGGGCAAATAGGTCATTTTGCTTGGGAAGAATTTTAATTTGTTTTCTTCGCCTAATCCACTGTGATCAAAGGTGTTTGCTTCTTATTGGGTGTACTTATAAGACTATTAACTCGATGAAAGATTTTAGAGGTTGGTTTATTCTTGCCCAGTTTGCAAGTTATTTTTTCTCTAAAATCACCCAGCCCCACCCTTAAAAGTCATATGGACCTCCCCAGTTAACTGATTTGTGGATTACAAGCCTATATATTGTTTGATTTAAATTATAAACTTATTAACTGAAGCTACGCTTTTAGCCCTGGCTAAATATACGTATTATGTTTTTTCATGCATAACGCTTTTGAATGTGCAATAGTGCAAGACAAAAACAACAAATTTATACAGGTTAGGCCCGTTTCAAACGTCGTGCTACTGCCGTGCCGAACTAAATTGATCGAATTAAATTCGACTTTAGCACGTTAGTAGCGTGACGTTTGAAACCAAGTCGTGCTACTGCCGTGTAGCACGGTAAGCTTCAGCGTGAAACTTTGCCGTGCTACACGGCAGTACCTCGACTTGGTTTCAAACGTCGCGCTACTGCCCTGCCAAACTCATTCATAAATTATAAATACATTAGAACTGATACATTTAAAAGTTTGCTAAACCCTTTCTTTATTTTTGTGTTTTGTTTTCGGCAACAGCCGTTCTATTCGACTGAATTAAATTCGACGTATGAAACCACGTCGTGCTAGTGTCGTGCTGCAGTCGAACTACAGTCGAGCCAGCTTAGCACGGCAGGAGCACGACGTTTGAAACAGGCCTTACGCTTTTCGCATTGTACACGCATCAGCTCTCGCCCGACAGATGTTGATAAATTTCCTCTTTTTTTCCCTTACAAGTCTGTTTCTCAGCTGGTTGTTGTCAAGTGAACTAAACAAACAACGGGTTTCAAGCAAAAAGGAAGTACATTCT